ATGCTCAATGAGAAACTACCTAGACACATTTTGGTTTTTTAGAAAAGATCTGTGCATGTCTTCTAATGTATTGGGACATTACCTTCTTGCACTACAAATCTATGCAACACATACAAGAGGGAAACACTACACTATACAGATTGGTGAAAGGTATTTAGTTAGGTTTAGGTGGAATAAAAAATCACTGAAAAGAAAGCGGGACATTGCTGTGAAGATGTTGATGTAGGGGACTGTGTTTGAGGGGTTCAGTTCTATTTTATTTGTATAGCGCTTTTAACAATGGACATTGTCAAAGCAGCTTTACAGCAATATAGAAATTCAGGGTGTAAGTTTTAAATGTATAAATTTATCCCTAATGAGCAAGCCAGAGGCGACTGTGGCAAGGAAAAACTCCCTCATCTGACATGAAGAAGAAACCTTGAGCAGAACCAGACTGAAAAGGGAACCCATCCTCAGCTGGGTGACAACAGATAGTGCAATTATAAATAATTCCCTTCTATAACTGTGTACTACATGGTCAAAAAGTGCAATTGTGGTTGAACCCTGTGGAGAGTTTAAGTAAAGGTCTGGTAATACAAAATATTACACGTTAAGAAATAGATCATTATGTACTGATTCTGTGATATCTGACGAAAAGAATTTGATTAAAAAGTACCTTTCTGGAGGTCTGCTTATTTGTTCAACATTATGCCACTGCAGTATGCAGTCAGATAGTTATAAATATTGTAATTTAGTGCCTCATAGTCATACATGCTTGTATTGTAAACCTAGCTAAATGTACCAAGTAATTGTAACCAAAATTGTAATCTCAAATAAAATATGACTAATTGTGCAGTTCTAGTCCTTAATCAAAATTGATTAAACGTGATGTTTCTCTCGCATTTATTCTTCCCGACATTGTAGACAGATGTAGATGCTGAAATTGTGGAATCATGTACGCGTACCTTACAAGCATACACTCACCGAACATTTATTAGGAACACTATACTAATACTGGGGTAGGGCCTCCCTTTGCTCTCAAAACAATCCTTCATGGCATGGATTCCACAAGCTGTCGGAAATATTCCTTGGAGATTCTGGTCCATGTTGATATGATTGCATCGCGCAAATCCTGCAGATTTTTCAGGTGCACTTTCATGCTGCAAATCTCCCCTTCTACCACATCCTAAATGTGTTCTATTGGATTCAGATCCAGCGACTAGGAAGGAAGAACACTGAACTCACTGTCAATAGGCTGTCAAGCGATGATTGCTTGGTATTAACGGGCCCAAAGTGTGGTCTTCTGCTGTAGTAGCCCATCTGCCTCAAGGTTTGATGTGCATTCTGAGATGCTTTTCTGCTCACCACAGTAGTGTAGAGATGTTATCTGAGTTACTGCAGCCTTTCTGTCAGCTTGAACCAGTCTGGCCATTTTCGGTCGACCTCTCTCATCAACAAGGCGTTTCTGTCAGCATAACTGCCGCTCACCGGATGTATTTTCTTTACTGCACCATTCTGAGTACACTCTAGAGACTGTTGTGCATGAAAATCCCAGGAGATCAGTCAACAGTCATGCCACAGTCAAGATCCCTGAGATCATATTTTTTCCCCATTGTGATGGTTTATGTGAATATTACCCAAAGCTGATGGCCTGCATCTGCATGACTTTATGCATTGCACTGCTGCCACACGATTGGCTGATTTAGATAACTGAATGACCGAGTAGGTGTTCCTAATAAAGTGCTCAGTGAGTGTACATTAAAGCCAATCACCATTATCTTATCATTACTGATTTGCAGCAGCTGCTCAACAAAGGAAGAAACTGATTAGCAAATGTGGTGCTCATATCTGCCTGACCTTAGGGATTAAACATATTTTTGCATGCAAATGAAGTGGCACATTAAAAAGCAAAATATATTTTTTTCCCTATTGATGTTTGAAGGTTGAACCTTTTATTATTCACTTTTCATATCTGCCTCAGTTTGGCCTTTACCCGCAGTTTCCTCTTAAATTATTATTATTTTTTTTTTTTGCTTAACCATAACACTTATTCTTACACATTCACTACCTAACTATTGAATGAATTTGCATTTATTTGCTTCCTTTTCATCTGTTACATTGCAGCCTTTTTTTAAAAAAAAATTTCCGTCTGATTATAGGCCGTTGCACCTTTGAGAGAGAAGATTCGGGATCTTGAGCTCAGGTATATTTGCATTCACTTGTAAATTAAGTTTTTTTTCTAAACTTGTTAAGCGCCTTTACTGACATGCAGTGCATTTCACTGTCCAGAGCTTTGTATCGTCTTTTCAGCATGGACAACTTTCAGAATATGGTCAGCGTGCAGCAGAAATAAGTGGACTGAAGCACAAATAGACAAACTTGTTCTTTATTAATGGTTTCTGTATTTTTTTTTTTATTAAACATGAAGTCATACTAAGTGCTAACTCTCTCATATACACAGATCAGCCATAACATTAAAACCACCATGCCTAATATTGTGTAGGTCATCATGTGCCGCCAAAACAGCTCTGATTTCTCTTCACCTGTCAGTGGTTTTAATGTTACGACTGATCCGTGCACATGGATGGGTAAACACAACATGTGAGAGATATGCCAAGCCTGGGGAACATTCTGCTGCCACTAAAGGATTAATAGGATTAACATGTTTGCCTGTTCCTGCTAAAATTAATTCAAGTGCAAGGTCTTTTGTTTACCGGTGAAACGATGCATGGAGTATCTAAAGGATGACACTGTTTACAGCACGTTTTTGTGGACACTGTTGCCCAGGTGTATAAAAATATTTCACTTTCAATAAGGAATTATAATCAGGATCTATTACGTCTTGCTCTTGGAGTGATCTTTGTTGGTCGGCCACTCCTGGGGAGGGTAACAGTGGTCTTGAATTTCCTCCAATTTCCTCCAATTTGTAAACAGTCTGTCTGACTCTGGATTGGTGGAGTCTAAACTCTTTAGAGATGGTTTTGTAACCGTTTCCAGCCTGATGAGCATCAACAACTTTTTCTGAGGTCCTCAGAAATCTCCTTTGTCTGGGCCGTGATGCACTTGCACATGCGTGTTGTGAAGATCAGACTTTGTGTAGTAAAACAGGGCGCTCACTCACACTCATTTATTGAAAACACCTGACTCTAATTTCACCTTCAATTTAACTGCTGACCCTAGAGGTTCACATACTTTTGCCACTCACAGATATGTAATATTGGATCATTTTTCCTCAGTGGATAAAGAGCAAGTATAATATTTTTGTCTCATTTGTTTAACTGGGTTCTCTCAGTGTACTTTAGGACTTGTATGAAGTTTTAGGTCATATTTATGCAGATGTATAGAAAATTCTAAAGGGTTCACACCCTTTCAAGCACCACTGTATGTTAATATCAAACCCACAATTATTCACCTCTTCTTCCTGAAACAATTACAACAGGCATTTGCATTAAAACGTTTTTCGTTCCATCACCGCTTACTCGTATGTTGCTCATGTTAAGCTTTCCGTTGGGAGCAAATTTTCCTCAAACCTTGATTGTTATTTTCCAGTTTAACACAAAAGTATCCACCTGTGAAGTTCCTCTCCGAGAAGGATCGCAAGAGGATTTTGGTAAGAACACTTTTTCTCATACAGTTTTGATTTGCTGTTTTCACTAAGGTCCAGACTGGAGGCCCAGGAGTGTCGTGTAATTATTACGGCAGTCCGTATAATGTATGATGTCTCATACGTGTCACTCAGAAGTGCTCCTGCCATTTTTCTCCTACGCACTGAATTGGAACAAGTCAATACTGAGGACATGAACTCCCTCGTAATGGAAGTGTTGTCACATTTTTGTCGCATCTGTAGCAATGTAGTGCACTGAATGAATGACACAAGTGAACAGGTATTGAATTGTAGTCTAGAGCCATGGCACAGAGAAGTGGCAGGGATACGAGGAAATTAGTATAATTTGATTTGACATGGGTAATTTAGCATGTAAGTAGTACAGGATTATATGACGTGTAGAGGCTCTTAATAAGTTGGAAGGATGGACGGAAGACATTCAGACGTGTTTAGTGTCACATGCTGGGATTCCTGAGGGAAGCTAGCCCTTGCATTCAACATCCGTTGTGAATTAGTCATTTAATAGACTTTCTCTGGCTGCAGATCACTGGTGGTGCAGGCTTTGTGGGCTCCCACCTGACTGATAAACTGATGATGGACGGTCATGAGGTGACTGTGGTGGATAACTTTTTTACCGGCCGCAAGCGTAATGTAGAGCACTGGATCGGCCATGAGAACTTTGAGCTCATCAACCACGATGTGGTGGAACCGCTCTATATTGAAGGTGAGTATTCCCGTGCTCCTACACTTTCTGGATTATTATTAAGGGGTATTGGATGTGGCTATGTAGATTAAATATGTAACATTACTAATGAATAGTAGTAATCCTGTCAAAACAACAAGATCTTAATGTTGTAGCGCATATGCAATGATAAATGCTGTGATTAATGATTATATAGAAGATTTTCACATGCGTCATTAATACTATAATGCTACAATAGTATGTAGTTTTGAAATGAGTTTCTTTCTTGTAAAAGTAACGCTACGTACTCAGCAAAAGTTGTTTTTGTACTTCAATAGAACAAATTATTTTGCCTGCTGAGTCAAAAATGGGGCAGTGGCTGTTCTTTGACAAGTTTAGGTTGCGTACTGTCACTAAAACAGACATTGTTGCTTTCATATAAGATCTTTTTTTCCTCAATGTGTTCAGACATTCAGGCATTCATGACACATGAAAATATCAGGTGTGAACAGCTATCCAACTTGTCTGTCCACTTGGGATTGAAGAATCAATTTAGCTGCCTTTTATAACACGGACTCTCTACACTAGTCATTATTATCATTATTTACATTTACATTTATAGCATTTGGCAGACGCCCTTATCCAGAGCGACTTACAACTGATACAACTTACAACTTTATACAACTGAGCAGTTGAGGGTTAAGGGCCTTGCTCAAGGGCCCACCAGTGGCAGCTTGGCGGTGCTGGGGATCGAATTCATGACCTTCCGATCAGTAGCCCAACGTCCTAACCACTGAGCTACCACTGCCCTATTATCTATTACCTATTATCATCATCATTCGTCTTGAAACAGAATGTGTTTTTTTCCCCCCCACAATTCCTATTTATCATTCATCTTCTTTTCTTTCAACCTGGACTTAGTGAAGAGGCGCGCGTGTGTGTGTGCGCGCGTGCCTGCGCATACCTCCAGTATCGACTGCACTTACCCTTGCTCTCGTTCATTCAGTGTTCTACAATTGAAAGAGCATTATTCTAGATTTTTCCAATAATAACTACATATATAAATTAAAAAAAAACCCTTGACAGAGCCTGTCTTGTTGCACCAGATTAAATTTCAAATTGAAATCGTTTTCCCTGTATGCCTGCGCCTAGGTACATAAATTAGTCCAGATGATGCAGTTGTTTTTACAGACTACAGTAAATCCAATGGTCTTCTAAGACATTATTTGTCATTATTTGATATTCACCCATATCACAGGCTACGATCGTATGTTGTCCTTCGATATCCATAGCAAGCATGTATGGAATAACCAAACAGCCATAAAAATTGCAAATGAATTATTGTGGTCCATATTTGTGTTTTATTGATCCTTGTAGCAGATATGCTCCTGTTTGGATAATTATTTCATATTTAAAATACTGTATGTGTAAATCTATGAGTTTAGCAGCATGCAACTTCAGAGAAGATAAAGATGATGCAAAGCCGTTTCCAATGTATACTGAAGCATTTTACCATTTTTTTTCTTTTTAGTGGATCAGATCTATCACTTGGCCTCTCCTGCGTCACCTCCCAATTACATGTATAATCCCATCAAAACCCTAAAAACCAACACTATTGGCACTCTTAATATGCTTGGTAAGTATTGTCACACAGCAGTCACATCATGCAGTAGCAGAGTGTATGCCAGCGATTATCTGTGTGTCCTGAAACAGAGAAATCGAACCACTTCTTTCTAACTTCTGTAGTGATCTTCCTTTACTCTCCAAATTCCCCTTCACCCCATCCTAGATTAGCTTCTCCAGCTTCAAACAGCCGGAAGAAGGAAGCCACAGGAGTTCTGCGCTCTTTGTGAAATTTACTTTTATTGTATTGAGTTTGTGTAATGTAAAGTGGGCTGTTGGCTGAGTTCAAGCTCTTCATTTTTCAGCAGCTGTATCTTGACTCCTTGCCTTATCCTTTGCCTTGCCCCGATGTAGTGTAATTGTGAACGCAGAGACACTACATCCTATCTACCTGTCTTTTTCCTCCATTAGAAGAACAGATCACTTTGTTACGCAAGCAGCCATGTTTGTTACTGGCAAAGTTTCATGGTCTCTATGTGTGTATTTCCAACTTAAATCATTCAGACCTGCCAAGCTTTACACATTTTGTGTAGGAAGTCTGCATTTTAACATTGGAGTGTGCTGCTTCATGTTATCACTCCCACTTAAATAAAATGTATAATGTGTGTTTGACTTAGTCAACAGTAGATAAGTATATGTTTATAATAATAACTAAGCCCTAGTTATTAATCTCTAATTAATTTTATTAGGTATACCCCTTAAAACTTTCATCTGAAACAAAAATGGCACTTTGGAAATAATTTACGACTTGAGAAGTAATTTCAGTGACAATTAGAAAGTGATTAAAAATGCTGTTTGCTCTCCTGTGCCACTCGTCAGCACAGACTCGAATTCTGGATTAAAATTCACTGAAGCACATTTGTGCTTTAAGTCTATTTTTCTCTGAGCCTTGATTGTCATTCATACTGAATCGGGGTTAGTTGGCTCTTGTGGCTCATGATTGCTGCTTTCTGTCTAACAAAGCAAACAATTGATCCAGCTGACAATAGAGGAATGATTTTCGTGTCACTCTTTATCCTCAGGTCTGGCGAAGCGTGTGGGTGCTCGACTACTTCTCGCATCCACATCCGAGGTTTATGGAGGTATGGTAGTATCATTAAATACTGAAAGTGTTCATCTACGCATTGCACATGTAAACACAATCAAAATCAAATAGGTGCATAACAGTGCCATCTTAAACAAAATTTATCATTATGCTTTTTTAAAGACTTTTTTTTGTTTTGTTTGAGATGATGGGTCCTGGCAAACACTGAGTGTTATTCAGCTGAAATTATTGCTTATTTTCTGTGAAGCGTTTGAGAAAACTGAGCTCAAGGACACTGCTATGATGTGAAACAAAGAGACAAGTGTTGTGTGATGATCTGAAGCTGGAGGACACAGTTAATGTCTGTCTCACTCCAACACTCAGATTGACTCCCTTATAATGAGACACACACACACACACACACATGCACTGTTACTGTTTCATAGCCTACCCTCTCTCTCAGTGCATTGTTCAGCTGGCTAGTCCCAGCAGGGTGTGTCAAAGTGAGCCTCCTAGGGCTGTCTACTGTATTTATGTGTATGCATGTTCATGAGTTTGTGAGTAATTGGACAGCTTATCATATCAAATTAACATGTAGGTAAATGATTTGCCCTGTGTGTATGTATGCATGTAGATCCAGAGGTGCATCCTCAGAATGAAGACTATTGGGGTCATGTGAACCCGATCGGCCCGAGGGCTTGTTATGATGAAGGGAAACGCGTGGCTGAGACTATGTGTTATGCATACATGAAACAGGTATGTCTGATAGTGTTCTAATAATATATTAATGAATAATGAATTTATATAGTTTCCTTTTGCTGAAAGAGACAGATGAGGGAGAAAAGAGGAAAACTGGTCTTACAATGGGGCAAAGAATACTAGTTGAGCAGACTAACGAATCCTAGCAGGAACTCAATCTCGTCATCTTTATTTGGTAGCAGACCTGCCAATAAAAAATAATTTTGTTTAAAGAATATCTGCATGTTTTTGGGTTTTTTTTTTTTTTGGTGATAAATTTTTTTAATTAATTTTTATCTTGTTAGATAAGAATCCCAGAGAGTGTCAAAAGATACACAGATTACAGTAACAGCAATCACAAAAAGACATCACACTAAATGGAAAAATTAAAATACAGCATGTACGGTGGGTTATAAAGGGCATACATTTCAGTTGTCGCTGGTTAGGTCCCTCAGCATCAATGTAATCCTTGTCTGTGCCCTTACTGTAGCTGGCTTGGCCTTGTTAATCACTGCAGTGGTTTGTCTTCATGAAACTATGTCATAAAAAAATAAAAGCCATTGCCTAAGCATATTTATACCTGAATAGTACCAGTTGTGTAATATGGTCTTTTTTCCAGCTCTTATGCCAATGAAATCTATCCACTTCTTAGTCAGTGTAAAGGTAAAAGAGCTGTCATCACATAATAAACTATAATAAACAGGGATTTTCCCTAAGGGTGTTCTTATCAGATCTTACAATCCCGGCAATACACATTCCCAAAACTGGTGGATGATGCACTCCCAAAACATATACAGAGTTCCAGTATCATTACATATTGGTACAATTAGGAGTGGAAACCCTAACCATTGTATGCCATATGTATGGTGTAGAATGTGTGAGCCTGTGCCCCGTTTGGAGGAACGAGGCATAAACCAATTAGTTATTGGATGTGGACTAATTGGGTTATCCCAAGGGACCCCATAGGTTTTCATAGTTGATCTCAGTCTGAGATATAAAAAGAGTGATGTCCACGGGAGGGTGAATTTGCCTTTTAACTCTAAGAAATTACACAGACCCAAATCACTGAGCAAATCATTACACGCTTTTATTTCTCCAAGCAGGATACAGTCAGGTCCATAAATATTGGGACATCGACACAGTTCTAACATTTTTGGCTCTATACACCACCACAATGGATTTCAAATGAAACGAACAAGATGTGCTTTAACTGCAGACTGTCAGCTTTAATTTGAGGGTATTTACATCCAAATCAGGTGAACGGTGTAGGAATTACAACAGTTTGCATATGTGCCTCCCACTT